ATAAGTATTCATATTCTCTAATTTTTTACTAATATATTTTAAGAAATTTAAATGGTCAAACATACTATTAAGAAAACAAATCAGAGTGTTAGAAACAATAGAATTACTAATTCTTAAGATTAACCGCGTGAAACGAATAAAAAACTACTCCCTCCATCCGAGAAAACTCTTTTTGTTTTGACTTCTTTGGTCAAATAATGATTTGACCATAAATTAATTATAATCTAAATAAATAAATGTTATAAAATTTTGATGTCAAAACTATATCGTAAGGTTTTATTAAATTTATATTACAATTAAATATACTTTTCTCGCAATTTGCAGTCAAAGAATGTCACTATTTGACCAAAAAAGTCATAATAGGAAGAGTTTTTAGGGGTAGATAGAGTATTAATTTGGTCACTATATATATTCAAGCAATAAACAATAAATTAAAATAATGCCAAATCACTATTCCGTATATTGATTAAAATTACAACTCATTAAAATAATAAATAGGTAGCGGTTGTTAAAAATGCCAATCAGACCCGTCATATGTCAAAATTCTGTGAGTCGAGTCTCAAATATTATAGTAAAGGATTTTCGCTTTCTTTTTTCCTCTTTCTTCTTCTGGTGCACTCTGTAATAATATTTTTTAAATTTTACTCAGTTATTACGTGGCGCTGACATGTTAAAAATTTTCCACGTAGACACGCCAAATGTCAAATTTCTGTGAATTAGAGTCTCCTTTATTATAGTAAAGGATAAAGGATATATATATATAGCTAATTCCTGTGAGAATAACTCTCCATGAAAGAAATGAGAATAAAATATAGACGCTAGATCAGATGCATCAAACGACTTAGGTTTATTTTACGAATTAAATGCTTTGACCAACTAAAAATGGGTTGGTCAATTTTACTCAAATTGTATTCTCAAATTGTATTCTATTAATTAGTGGGTTGTGAATAATGATTTTTTGGTGACTTTATATGTGATGAAAAAGCCTGAAAATGTATTGTATTCACAAATAAGTATAATACATGTTTGAGAAATAGTTTGCCTATGCGGGATTCGAACCCACATCCATAGTACATATCGCTCTACCATTTGAGCTAATAGGCAACAATTTGTTTTTTCAAATAGACTCTTATCTTGCACTTGGACCTATTAAATACATAGTTTCATATTTAAAATTGGCATCATTTATCAACGTATTTCTAGCCTATGCTCAAATCTATGATAAAATATTTCAATGCATCATCGTTTGCGAAAAATCAATTTATAGACTATACTGATGCATCATATTTGTATGAGAAGAATTTCACTAAGAGATGCATCAACTTTGACTTTTAGAATACAAAATAAAAGGATGCATTGTCTAGAGTTACAATGCATATTATATTCTCGGTAATGCACTAGATTTTACCCGTGCGTTGCACGGTAAAACTAAATGCTATTGACTTGGTTTTTTTAGAATATATATATATATATATATATATATATATATATATATATATATATATATATATATATTTCCTTCATAACAAAAATTATACCTCATTTATATCCAATGAGTACAAAAAACAATAGAGCACACCCTCAAGAACATTTATTAATATATCAACAAATAAAAACACGTTATCATTTCTCAAGGATACATTTAATGTTCTATGTGTTAGTGTTTCATTTATTTCCATGAACACACACACATACACATACTCTATACATTTGAAAGTAAAATAAAAAAAACTCCATGATACAGGCATACAACATTTCAATACCAAGCACAAATAAGCATACAATAAAACTCAAACTCAAAAGAGTAACTATCCAAGGAGTATAAATCTGTCAAGGCATAGGATGCCCAAAAACAAAGTTCGGGAAGACCAAAACATTTACTTTAATAATTATTGTTTGGATCAAATTGAACTCATAATCTAGAATAGGTTGTTACAAACTTGAACACTTCGTAAATTTCTACGGACTTAATTTTTTTCTTAATTTAATTTTATTGTAAAAAATAGATTGATAAACCATGTTTTCCTAAACCAAAAGCACATATTTATTTTCATTAACCCAATTTTATTGCATCTCTTTCGTGCAAATAAACATGAAAACAAAACCACGATCACCAAAAAGTAATTTTAAATTAAATATTTCTTTAATTTCAAATAGTATCACATAGATCAAATGCTTATAGGCTTTATACCCAAAATCTTTGAATAATGAAACGCACATTTGTTCGGACCCTACAGATCATTCTCACCACACTCTAGCTTAGAAAAAGAAATGCTATGAATTAACATACTACCTTGTTCTTTATGAAGTCTAATAATAAATATGACAAAATTTTCATAAACATAAAATTGTGTAGCAAAACATTACCACATGATCACGTAATGTACCTCAAAACCAAATAAAATTACACACTTGAGTATAGAATTGATGGTGTAATTAAAAACATAATAATTTTAAATATCAAATTTTAAAGATAAACTTTTACTCAAATCTAAAGGGAAAATATGGTGAGATTAAAAATTGCATAAAAGTATATCCTCAACATTTTAAAAATGAAATCAAATGCAGATTAATTTTTTTTAAAATGCCCAAACATTAAGAATCCATTAGACTTTAGAATCTTTTGGTATGAGGTTAACATCAAAATATTGAAATTGGATTTTGAAAAGTAGAATTTTATTTCAAAGGGGCATTTCAATCTCAAATTCCAAAAACAAAGAGTATAAAAAAGAGTAATTTCAAATTTGTCCTATAATGATAATTATTCTATACTATTAAAGTGTGTGACATATCACTTTTGGAAATTTCTTAACACTCTATTTGGAAATTTATTATCACTCTGTTCCATTACATTCTCTTTTAGTCTGAAAAGTAGAATTTGATTTCGAAGGGGCAAGATGTGCATATTAATCTCAAATCCAAAAAAAAGCATAAAAAAGTTAATTTCAAAATTTTTGGTTTGAGAGTGTTAAGAAATTTCCCCTTAACACCATCAGTTAAACAAAATTTCTTAACACACCCATAAGTTGCAGCTTCATTCATCAACAGTTCACGGGTTTAACAAAACACACATCAAAATTTTAGACTATGGCCCAAAATTTGCTGCAACTTCTGCAAAACTTGTAGCAACACCTTCAACTTCAAAATACTCTACTGCACCTCCTCCACCCGTGAATCACTCATCCGAGAATTCAGTCCTTTCAACCTTTGCTACTGCTTTTGTTCCCAACTCTACTCACACTTTTTTCACTCCCTTAGTAATCCCTCATTTCCTCGGATGCTCAAACTCAAATTATGAGATGGAGAGTTTACAATGGAGCAAGAATCTAAATATGACATAATGTATACCGTAAAATCTTCGAGACCCATCACCCGAAGTCCATTCAAATTAACCCCAAAAACTACAAACAACCAAAATCTAAAAGAGCTCAATTTGAACCAGCTAAAAACCAAAACTCACATTAGAGTTTAATTCTCTGTATCTTAGGAAGGTTAAAAAATGATTTTATTCAAGGATTGAAAATGAAAGATTAAATAGAGAAACAGATATGTACCTCCCTATAGAGCCACACTCATGGTCAATTGATCATCCTCCACAACCTGTTCAAAAATTTGAAAGGTTGCCCTTTAAGGCAAAAGCCAGTGTCAAGTATCTTTAATGGAAGGTGTTTACAGAACTTCTCATTGGCGTGTGCAATTGACCAGGAGGAATTTTTTTATCTGCTTCAATGTTGAATTAAAGCTCTAGTCACTTTATTCATGAAGTAGATCATTATAGGTACACTATATATACCAAACAATAACACGAAGTGCAATAGCTTTAAGCCTTCCAATACGGGTTTAAGACCTAACATCAAGACACACATTGCATACGCAAGTGTTTGAGGGAAAAGGAATTTGCAATAAGACCATCTAATATAGTAGCAAAAAATTATAACACACCCCAATCCGCGTAACCCGAACCAACGAGTTAGCGAATTGGGTTGCTACTAATTTGGTATTCACATGCACAATATTTTAAAAACATTTCAAAATAAAACAAACATTCGTTCATAATATCAATTCACATTTATTTAAAAACTATTCATAATTAATCGGAGTAAATAATTCAAACGTTGTGGAAGCCTTGAAAACAACATTCAACATTCTAATAATTTAAATAAACAAATTCAACAAATTGTATTTAATTTAAGTAAAACAGCTTTGGGCCATCCACCAGCGTCACGCTTCACTATCCTCCAGGCTGCTCCTCATCCAATCCTTGATCCCTACCTGTAAAAATAGGGAGAGTGGAAGTATCTAACGCTAGAACTAACTCATAGACTAGCACCCATTCACATATGATCATACAATATCAGAATAATCAGCAAATATCATTATCCAACTCTACCACTATTTACCCTTATATTTCAGTTTAGTTCTTATGCTTCCTTACTCCATCTTCCTGCTAGATATTATCTAGGCTCTCGCCCAAACCCACACTCATAACTCCAAAGCTCTCGCAATGGAGGGGGTTGAGGCCCCCACTGGCTCTCGCCAGGGGTCAATGACCACCGTGCACACGTTTTTAACCCTCGAGACCACTATGTGTACGACTTCACCTGCATGACCTTAGTTTATAATCTCAACCCGATTTATGATTTCTAATATCTAATTAAACTCAGATTCACCTTGTACCACTAGGTGGCCTACTTCACACTTTTATTTCACAACATAACAATACACCAATAAGCTCACTAACATCTTACATACTAAGAACAACACGAACATAGGCCTAACACGAACATAGGCCTAACACGAACATAGGCCTAACAGAAGAACAGATGAAAATCTAGATAACAAAACACATAAATCAAGCAACACAACCGGACAATAAGGACTGCTAAATGCCCTAGAAGCAGTAACTTCCCTTCTCGTTTGGAAGCAAGGTGGAAATAGCAACACACCGCCACAGCAGTGGCAGTAGCAAGTCAGCACATATAGAGAGAGAAGAGACGAACAGAACAAAGAGAGAAGAGAGAGCATGATCGTAGAACACAAAGCAAGAGAGAAACAAAACAGAGCAGTAGTAGCAATGTATAAATTTTCCAAAATCAAATTCATATCCCAACTCAAATTAAATTCACACAATCAGTCGCATAATCATACTTACGAATTCAACATCAATTGGATGAAAACATATTAATGAATCCTAATCTACGAACTAATTTTAACTAGAGATAAATCACTCACCTTGAATCAATTGGCAAGGTATCCCACTCTAATTGGCTTAAGAATTCTAGCGTCTTTCAAGCAATTCTCTGCCGAATTGCTCCAACGATTTCCCTCTCCTCTGTTCCGGTCTTGTCGCGCGGCGAAGAAGATAAATGCAGGCGGATGATGGTGATCTACGGCAGTGGGGAAACAGAGAGCGCATGGAGTATTTAAGGAAATTGGGTTAGGGGTTTGGGTCTCTAAAGGGTTTGGATCTCAAGGTCCAATACGTATAGAAATAGGGATTACCCTTTTTTTCCACCCCAAAGCTTATACGCATATATAAAAATGGTCCCTGTATTTCTCCCCAAATAGGATTGGGGTTTCTTTTTCTTACGGCTAAGGTTTAGGAAGGTTTAATAATTATTATATTATAAAATCTTTATATTTATTTATTGAACTGTAACATCTATTTTACTCATCACGTTTTACGCAAAAGTCCCAACTTAACAAGCTATATACCATTGGTCACTATTTTACGAGATCTACCCGAAAACCTAATTTTTAATTAAAATGGTCAATTTTATAAATAATTCATATTTTGAAGTCAATAAATAATATATTCATTTTTTATTAAAATAACGACTAACTACTAAGCCGGGTTTCAGGGCGTTACATTTACTATTACCAAAAAACTATTCCATATCATTTCAATTATGATGCCTCCAAAGTGGGTATTCCAAAAGCTTGCAATGCCAGTATGCACAAAAATACTTTTAGCATTCTTAGAGTATGGGTATGCAAACAAAGTTGCTGTATCAGGGAGTAATGACAAAAAGAAAGTTTATTAGCCTACTGTATTGGAGCCTTTTATATTCAAAGATATTTTACCGAGGAGTTATTTGAAAAGCTTAACATTAGGATTCAAACACTCACATTTCTCTATAAACAGAAAATGAAATTAAACATAAAATTATTTAATATTTGATAATCCAATTTATAAAATTGGATTTGATTTATCTAAAAATCATACTACGTAATTTAATAAAAAGAACATTTTAAAATTGGAATTGTCTAATTCTCTAACCGTATTATACCAAATTGTATGTCTTGCAGAATCGCTACTTAAAAGCCATAGCCACCATCCTCTTTGTCTAGACCTAAAGTTAAGCCGGCAAATCCACCAACCCGCAAGAATCGGGGAAGACATCGGTGCCCTAGAAATATAGCTTACAACCTTGAATTAAGATACCCCATCTGAGAAATACAAAGCATTTTGGTGTAAGGTCAAAAAAGAAAAAACTAAAAGCTCACCAAAGGTAGCATGAACAATTATTGAGGTCATTGTCATCTCCATCGTTCAAGTCCTAAGAGTCTTCTTCCTCATAGCAACAAAAAATCCTGCTTTTGTATATATATAACAGGGATATTGGGTTCACCAATCATCAGCAGAGTGAAAGAGAAAATTTTATTCTCTAGTTATGAAGGTGATGAAGAATTTGAATTAAAATAAATAATAGTGATACCTCAATCTCACTGCCCCTGAAATCATCTTTTAAAATCGATTGAAGATCGAAACTACAATGCTAAGGTTGCACCCGAAGTTAAAATCAAACTTTCATCAGAGATTGCTAGAAGGGAATCTGAAAATATTGATTATTATAAACCCTAGCTGTGAAATCCATGGGTAAGCATGGCCAAATTTTTAGTATGAGATATAATTAACTAATTCTAAAAACAATCGAAACATACTTGAGGTAGCCATTGTCCCTGCCGTGTCTTCTTTGTTGACGTCGTCGGCCTAGGTAGCCGCTCATGAACAATAGACGGTGAAGACAAATCAAGAAACAGGGGGGAGGGACAAAGAAGCAGAGGCGGTCGCCATGGCCGTCATCCCGCCGGCGATAGAGTTCGGAGATCTATGCGACGAAATCGTCGAAACCATCTTCTCTTTCGTCCCCCTGAAATCCCTAGCGAAGCTGGAGACCGTTTCCAAATCATGCAGCAATTAATTTCCAGAGTCCGGCTCCACCACCCGCCCGTCACCGACTCCGGTCTCATTCTCCACCTCTGGTCCTTCGGAGGCGCCGGAATCACTCAAAAATCCGTCTTCTTGAAACTCCACTACCCCCACAACGCCGAGCTCTGCACCATCAACTCCTCCGCCCCGAACAAATTCCCCTTCTTGATCGATTCTTGCAACGGGTTAATCCTCTATGGAGCAGATATATGGATGACAAAAAGACTTAAAATTACATCGTACATTCCCAGGTTTCCGACCAATTCATAGTTTGTGTGGTGAGAACTGCGGTTTGTGCCTTAGAGCACTGGAATTGAGCTTCACGCCCGCCGGCGTGAACGGGCATTTAACGCCCCGAGGCGTGAAACACCGCCCCCTCCGCCGTTATTTGGGCTTGATTGGGCGTGCGTTAAAGGAATGACGCTGCGTGATTCCATTCCCCTCCCCCCTTAACGGCTATAATAGACATTGCACCCCCCAATTCAAAAAAAAATTCTTATAAATTCAACCCCCCTCTCCCAATCTCTCACACCTTCTCCATCTTCAATCTCTTCTTCTTCCCAATTTTTAAAATTCAAAATTACCCCCTCTCTTTTCAACATGAATCCTTCCGGCTCCGGCTTCTTTCCCGACGATCTCCCGCCGAGTGACGCCGCGATGTGGTTGTACCAACAGTGGGGCGATCGATCGCCGATCTACGAGACGCAACAATCGGGGTATGTCGACCGAGATTTGGTTCCGGAGACTCAACCGGAACCGTCCGGATCGAAAAAAAGTACACGCCGGAGGAGCCACAAAGCCAAAAGCACGTCGGCCGAGGCGGCACGGTCAATCCAAAAGTTGACGCTGGAGGAGGAGTGCATATTGGCGTCGGCTTGGGTTGACGTCTCCGAGCATCCTATCATTGGTAAAAATTTATTTTTTCTAATATACTTATGTTTTTATTTATATATATTACTCCCTCCGTCCCCCATAGATCTTCCCATTAACCCTTTTTATTTGTCCCACATAGATCTTCTCATTACCTTTTTTAACATTTAAAATACCACAACTACCCCCACTTACTTTATTTATTACACCCTTTCCACCTTATTTAATACACCCCACCCATTTTCATTAAGGGTATTTTGGTAAACTTTCACCTTTTTTCAACTCTCCTTAAAAACCGCAAAAAATCAAAACGAGAAGATCTTAGGGGGACGGAGGGAGTATATTTAATGGTGTCTAAAAAAGTTGTGTAATACATTTTTAAAGGAGAAGGAGTTGAAGCTAAAGGAGCAGGATGCCGGGATAAAAGTCATGCAAACCCACCCCGGGACGTTGTCGGAGTTTGGACTAATGATCTACGAGCAAAGAATGAGAGAGATCAAGGAGAAATATAATTTACCTTAGTTTTTTTATTAAGGTATCTTTTTTTAAAATTATTGTCATTTTTTTATTTAATTAATGTATTTTTTTATTTTTCGTGTTTCAATTTAATTAAATAATAAATTAATTACATTCTATTAATTTAATTTTAGAAGATGTATGTTTAAAAATGTAAAAAATGAAGGTTTGAAGCCCTAGTTTGAAGCCCCGGGGCTTCAAACCCATTTCCAGTGAATTTTGGGTGTAAGTTAAAGCTGGCGTGGCAGAGAGAGAAGGTTTGAAGCCCCGTGGCTTCAAACCCATTACCAGTGCTCTTATCCTAGAGATGTGCCTCTCATTCTTCTAGAGAACGTGGGTTGAACGGTTGATATATCATTTGGGCGGCAAATTTTCCTGCTGCTGTTGTAAATAATGGGATATTTAGGATGTGTATCATGCATTTAAGCATTAACCAGAAGTCTTCTGCTTTATACTCAGTACCATAATGTTTAATCAGAAAGTACACAAATGCAAAGTAAATGCATCAAAATATGAGGTTAGTACAATGCCCGTAGTACATTAAGCAGTGCCAAAAAGACTTAATTATA